AAAAAAAAAAAAATCACTCTTTTCTTCACTGATTTGTGTCTCCTGTGGTGTCCTGAAAATTTTATATTACTGTGGTCAGTGATGAGGCCTGAATCAGGAACCCTGTGCCACTGGGACCCCAAGAAAATCAGCCTTTCTCTTCCCAGGATGGGCCAAGAGATCCACAGTTAATACAACTGTATGGCGTGTTGCAAAAAGGAAATCATATTTACGGCGTCGTGTGCTCACAGGGTGCTTTTGTATTTGCGCTTGTGAAATGGGCACCGTAGACCAAAGAGCCATATGTGGTTAATGGTTGCACATTTAACCAAGAGCAATCCAACTTCACATGATGCCTTAGGACAGACAGGGCAGTCTACTTCCTGCTACTGTGTATATTTCCAAAAGTGTTCAGTGTCTTTTCATGTTCTCGGGAAGCAGAGTAGCTCCAGCAATCTAAGACATACATGTATATTCACACGTAAATATTCATAGCTGCTGAAAGGTTGTTAAAAACAACAACATTTGGGCTAGTATTTTGTTCTGTGCAAGTATTCAAGGCAGTAATTTACAAGGAGTCCTTTTCTTGTTTTTCTAAAAGAGTTAACATTATATTTAAGTACAAACGGCATCATGGGACATGAATGATAACTTGTGAATTGTCAGCCTGCTTCTTTTGCTTAAAAATACTTGCTCAGTCCAGGCGCGGTGGCTCACACCTATAATCCCAGCACTTTGGGAGGCTGAGGCGGGCAGATCGCCTAGGGTCAGGAGTTTGAGACCAGCCTGGCCAACATGGTGAAACCCAGTCTCTACTAAAACTACAAAAATTAGCTGGCTGTGGTGGTACATGCCTGTAATCCCAGCTACTTGGGAGGCTGAGGCAGGAGTATCGCTTAAACCCAGGAGAGACTGAGGTTGCAGTGAGCCGAGATCATGCCACTGCATTCCAGCCTGGTTGACAGAGCAAGACTGTCAAAAACAACAACAACAACAAAACAAAACAAAAGGAAAAAAATACTTGCTCATATGATGTTGAATACTGACAACAAAAAAAGAAAAATACTTGCTCATTCCTAAAACAAAGGAAGGATGGTGATGGCAAACATGGAGTAGGCAGAGAAAAAAGTTCAAGTCAGTCACCTACTAAAACCCAGCAACTATTATGAACTTAAAAGTCATTTTGCCATTCAAAGTCATGAACCTGAAGGAGATACTGTGTAGATGGCGGCGGGCGGGGGCGGG